TTTTTGAGGTGTCATAACGTAATAGAATTAATTTTTAAGTATAAATTATACAAAGAAAGTGTGAAAGTAAAATTCATGTCCAGAAGTACAAAGTCCAAATTTGTGAATCTAATGAAACGCTTTCGATTCTAAAAAAAATTTTCATTTCTACTGAGTTTCATTTCTATGGTGCAGAACGTATTCAGAGGGTTCTTCGATATGTTTCAAGTGTTTGTAAACTGTTGGTAGATGTTTAGGTTCCCTCAATGGAGATAAGAATGGAGGTAACGCTACGCACTCGACAGTTTCGGTTTAGTTCGTCTGTAGCTTCTTTTCCATCGAGACATGAGTTCCAAACGAGAATTATCAATCGAAAAACGTTCCAGTATTCTGACCTTCGCAGAAAAAAAAATCGATTTTAGTTACCGTTGTAGATACTTGAATAACTTTCATGCAACGCGAATGCATATTTCGCTGGTGTCCGGATACTTATGGACGGTAGTGTATTTACATTTTGGTATGTGTGAAGTAAATTTTTTTGTTATGGAGCGATGGTTCTACTAATCGGACGTAAGCTGTAGAGGGAGGAAATAGAATAAAGGGAGGAAGGACTAACGGTTTGGTTCTTTAGGTATTTTGGAAAAAATTCTAATATTTAGGACAAGCTTACAGAATGACGGTTAATTACGGTTAATGTAGTCTGAAAAATATGGTGTCCTAAAACAGTTTGGATTTTTCCTGACATCGTGTGTAACATAAACGGTTTGCTTAAATTAACATTGCTTAAAAAGCATAAACTATACAATATTACGATGCGACAATTAATTAATGTAATATACCAATATAAAGTAATGCAACATATCAGGGTTATGTACGTATTTTTCCGCCATTTTTTATTGTTCTTTCAACAGATTATCCGTTTTATAAAATGGTTTGATGTTAACTGTAAAATACTATCTAACTTTTATCTAACATTTGTTTAATTTACAAAATGAATCAGTTCTCACTAGGATATGTAGAGTAACAAGAATGTAATAAGTACTTATATTTTTATTTATCTAAATTACTTAAAAAATGCAAGAGATGTTGAGGCACACTGTGATAAGAAGAGTTAAGAGAATTGTTGTTTCTGATGTGAACTCTGTACATCTGTATATTTTTTGCTGAGAAAATATAGAAAGGTCGATAAATTTTCCTGAAGTTATTACAGTCACGTATGATTCAAAATATTGCTTAACCTACGGGGAAAAGGGGATAACTTAATCCTTTGCATTTGAAGGAATTCTTGCTGTGGAACTCTGAAAGTTCTTTGTTGAGATGATACAGGAATATAGGAAACTTGATGAATCTTTCTGAAGTTATTACAGTCACGTATGATTCAAAATATTGCTCGATCTAAGAGAAAAAGGGGATAATTTAATTCTTTGTATTGAAAGAAATTTTTATTGTGGCTGATGCGAATTTTTATTTGGGGAAATGATATAGGAATTTTGTTTTATGAATTTTTATGAAAATACTGCGGTTC